GTTGGAGATCCCCCAGTTGGCCCAGTCAACCTTACACTTGGAATATATCTTGGAATGATGGGGATGGTTTCCCATATTCCTGGTGGAACCGTGGTGATTCCACCCAGATCCCAACACCCCATGACCCATCAAATCCCTTCCAAGGCGTGAAGAACCTTCCCATGGTGTGAAGAACCCCTCCCAAGGTGTGAAGAACCCTCCCAAGGTGTGAAGAACCCCTCCCAAGGTATGAAGAACCCTCCCAAGGTGTGAAGAACCCTCCCAAGGTGTGAAGACCCCTCCCAAGATATGAAAAGACCAAATTGAGGATCTTCTCCACCACGAACTTACCCAAGAAGTTGCCTCAGTTTCCCCGAAAGCCTAGAAGAACCCAAATTAAGTTCCTTGAGGTTGACCAACCTCCCCAACTGCTCGGCGAGACATCGTAGACCGACATCCATCCCGGCAGCCATCTTTCTCACGTCAACATTGCTGTAGGGTAATTTAAGACTGAGAAGATGTGGAAATCTGGTGAGATGAGGTAAAACTGCACAAAGTCCGCTCAACCCGAAATTATTGAAGCGTAAATCCACCCGTCTGACCCCAACAGGGTCCAGAGATTCCACCAAACTCACGGTGCCGGCGATGGAAAGTTCTTCAGCGTGAAAATGGCGGCATTTAAGATGTAGAAGACCGGTGAGTCCGCTCTGGAGAGCGTCACGTAAGATGGTGAAGGAGGTGGCGTTGACGAAGAGATCGGTGAAGATCTCCACGCCGCCGATGGGTTGTGGAGATGTTGAGGTGGTGGTGGGACCTTTATGGCGTTTGGAATGATGTTTCAAATATTCCTTTTGGTGTTTGGTGATTTCTAGACAAGCTTTGGCCAAAGTCACCGTGCTGGACCATAAACTCATCCCCTCGGTGTCGTGGTTGGTGACGTCATCCTGGAGACCCGTCATGTCCAAGAGCCGGAGGTGGCAGCGATTGTCACTGGGGAGAAGGTGAGAAAATGGGGGATAAAGGAGTGAGGAGATGGAGGATGTGGAAATACGGCGCGGTGAGGTGGAGGAGGAGGAAGGAAATGGTGGAATCTAGCAGAGGAGGAAGGAAATGGTGGAATTTGGGAGAGGAAGAAGGAAATGGTTCCTGCTCATCCCAAGGGAATTTGGCAGAGGAGGAAGGAAATGACAGAATTGGGGAGAGGAGGAAGGAAATGGTTCCTGCCAATCCTGGGGGAGTTTGGCAGAGAGGAAGGAAATGGTGGAATTTGGTAGAGGGGGAAGGAAATGGTTCCTGCTCATCCCTGGGAGAATTTGGCAGAGGGAGGAAGGAAATGGTGGAATGTGGCAGAGGAGGAAGGAAATGGTTCCTGCTCATCCTGGGGGAGTTTGGCAGAGAGGAAGGAAATGGTGGAATGTGGCAGAGAGGAAGGAAATGGCTCCTGCCAAGCCCGGGGGAAATTGGCCCAGGAGGAAGGAAACGGTGGAATTTGGCAGAGGAAGGAAATGGTTCCTGCTCATCCCAAGGGAATTTGGCAGAGGAGGACGGAACCAGCCCATCCCGGGTGAAATCTGACATCTCCAACACCCACCTCATCCCACGAGAAGCCACCTCCAGCGCCCGCCGGAGATGTGTCACCACAGCCAGGATGACAGCCTGGACACACAACTTCCTGGGACAGCCATCCTGGTGACGGTGACAACCATCCCGGTGACGGTGACAACCATCCCGGTGACCCAGGAGGTGCTGGAAGCTGAGGACGGGGAACGGCCACGTCCCCACCAGGTCCCGTAGGGCCAGGACCCGTCCGTCCAGGAAGGCCACTCGGAAGAGGACGGGGTAGAGCTCGGCCGGGAGCAGCTCCAGGGCGCGGCGGGTGCCGGGGAGGTGACTCACCAGGTGGCGGGCGCAGAGGAAGAGGAGGGTGTCCATGGTGACCGTCACCCACCACCTGGGGGGCTGTGGGGTGAGGTTAGGGGGGGACACTATGGGATCATCACCCACCCACCCACCACCCCCACTTGGTCCCGTATCTCTGGGGGGTTGTGGAAGCCACGTGGTGGCACTGAAGGGAAGTGGGGGAGCCCCAAAGCAGACCCACATCAATGGGGTGCCCCATGGTG